TTTGTAGGTAGGTTTATGTGTATATAACTTAGATGACTGATTTACATTTATGATAAATTCAATGTCGGTTTCTATTTCGTTAAATAAATAAAACAATTGAATAAGTCCTGCCTTGATCTAGTATTTGGTAAAACTATTATCCCTTACAGAAATTCCGTAAAGAACTTGGGGATCCACATTGATAAAAATCTGTCATATCATCATCACATCAAAGAGATTCTCTGTAAAGTTTGTGCCTCTGCAGCTTCTTTGCGTATATTACGTAACTTTCTTCCCATTTCCACCAAAACTGTACTTGTCAAGTCACTTCTTTTCCCTATTTTCGATTATGCGGACGTCAGCTATCTAGATCTCATCAAAACTCAGCTTTAAAAACTTGAGTGCTCAGAATTTTTGTATAAGTTTTATATTTGGATTACGTAAATATGACCATGTCTCTCTTTTTCGTACTAAACTCAAGTGGTTGCCAATGCCAATACGACTTCATCGGAATAAAAATAAATAAAAAAATAAAATAAAATAATTTATTTTTCTTCACAAAAATTAAATGAATGACATAGTTGACTGGGATCTCCATTTAAGCAAGTAGTGCCTGTGTTTGGAAATCCCGCTCTTCCTTATCTAAACATACATTTTTTAATTTAAAAAACCAAAAATAACAAAAACAAATTACTCGACTTTAACAACCAAAATTTACAAAAATTACAAAAGTGTGTATGTGTGCATGCGTGCGTACGAGCGCGAGCGCATGTGTGAGTGTGTGTGTGTGTGTGTGTATGTGTGTGCGTGTGTGCGTGTGTGTGTGTGTGTGTGTGTGTGTGTGTGTGTGTGTGTGTGTGTGTGTGTGTGTGTGTGTGTGTGTGTGTGTGTGTGTGTGTGTGTGTGTGTGTGTGTGTGTGTTTTAATGAAAAATCATTTTGTTAAATTATATTGTATATAGAAGTGAATTATGAAATGCGGTACAGCAGAAATTCGGTTTCTTCATAAGTTTTCGACTGCACCCACTTAAGTATCAGGTTTTTACACTCCCTGTACGTTTTGTTGTATATGTTCAATTCTCTATTTATTTTATTGTATAGGAATGCAGAACATGAGCTAAATTGCCTACTAGCAAAAACTGTTTTGGTACCAGAAGGCTTAACCACAATATCTTTTCGCCGCTTTTTCAAGATGCATGGGTCAAAGGACAGGTATTTGTGTGCTTTGAGGATTGTCATAGGTAAGTTCGTTTAATTATGTAATTATACTCAAGCTTAGTCCGAGATAACTTGGTAGATGTTTAGAGTTAATGAGTAAACATATAGATTCTCATTGCATTTGCACATTAAATTGGAACCTAAAATTATAAGAAAGAAAGATTCAAAGAATACTAAACTTGAAAATCAACTTTTTTTAAAATGTTACTTCACTGAACAAAAAATTAAAATAGGTTGCTATCACAACTAAGTAGTAATTATATGTAAATTACAAATATTTTTTCAAACTAAATTTTAATCAAGTAGAGTTTGTCCTACATATTGTTTTTGCAAACAGGTGATTATCATTTAACAGAGGTCTATTATAATGCTTTGCAAATGTTTGAGAGTTTGCTGACCATCCAACTGTCTTTAATATGTTATCTATTGTAAGTCCTTGTCTTAGAGCGCTAGACGTTGAGGCATGTCTAGTTGAATGTGGAGTAAATGTGCTTGTATCAATACCACTTTCGCTCATTACTTGTTTAAGCCACCTACTTATGCTTTGACATGTGGCTGCTCTATACGGTTTTCTAAATGTTATAAAAATATTTTGTGTACTTCCATCCTGATCTCTTAATTTTTTAGTGGTATCGATGTAAAATAACAAAGTTTTTGTTGGGCAAATCTCAGGCTTTTCTTTAAAATATGGTAGGATTAACATTGGCTGTTGTCTTCCAGAAGCCGATGTTTTAAGTAAGTCTGAAACCAGTATTGTAACATGTGTCTCAGTCACATTTACATCACTCAATTTAATTAAAGATAGTGTTTGTATCCTTTGCCCAGTGCTGAGTGCAATCAACATAGCACATTTTTTGGAAAGTTTATCTAAGGCAAGTGATTCAAGTGGATACAATTTTTGCAAAAAATTTAGGACTATTGAAGGGTCCCATGTCAAACTATATTTTGGAGTTTGTGGTCTAAGCCTATATACTCCTTTAAACCACCTTTTTATTGTTTCATCTGTTCCCAGATGTGATCCTATTATTAAGGAAAGACTTGATCTATGGCAATTAAGGGTCTGATAACTACACCCTTTATTATATAACTCTGTTAAGTATGTTATTATATATGGCACTGATGCCCTATAGATATCATGATTGTTTTGCATACAGTAATACCATCACTGTTTTAAACATGTATTATACTGTTTTAATGTAATTGAGGACAGAGATGCTAACATCAAATCACATGCTGACTCCGGGGTTTTATTTAGTTGGAACGCTGTCCTGATAATATGCATGCCCCTAGGGTAGGTTGTGCATGTAGTGGGTGAGGTGTCCTGAAAGGAGAAGATAAGAGTTCTAATGAAGGTGGAAAGTAAATTACTTCCGAGTCTATCATTGATTTCATCATAGGATACCAGGGCTGAGCAGTCCAAACAGGGAAAATAATGATGCCCCTTGCCTTTTCATTCTTAATTTTTTGAATTGTTTTTAAAAGAACTGAAAATGGTGGAAATGCATAAAAGTAGAAATCAGACAATCTTAATGTAAATGCATCTATATTCCAGGCTTCTGGATCTCTTTGCCATGACACATATTTAATGCATTTTGTATTAATCCTAGATGCAAAAAGGTCAATGTCTGGCTGGCCAAACATTGTAACCACCCTGTTAAAACTATCATCTGATAGTTCCCATTCAGCATCTATATACCTATTTCGAGACTCAAAATCTGCTTCTTTATTGTCTTTTGATTTAATGTAAGAGGCAAAAATCTATATCATTCTCTTCTCACAAAATTGCCACAATAATCGAGATAAGTTGTTAAGCTTAGGATATTGAACTCCCCCCCATACGATTAATATATGAAATTGCAGTTGTATTATCAACTCTCAATAATATTTCACAATTTTTTAAGTCTTTTGCAAAACATTTTAAACCAAAGTATGCTGCTAAGAGTTCTAAATAATTTATATGATTTTGTTTATCTTGAATGGACCAAAAACCTTGTGCCACTTTACCATCACAGTGTACTCCCCAACCCGTACTAGAAGCGTCTGACCAAATTTCTAATATAAACTGATACTGTTTTATTGGATTATATGCGGTATTAATCTTATTTTGCCACCATGATAAATCTAACTTCACATTTTCATTTATTTTCATTTGTTTTTCATAGTCTCCATTTGATCTCTGTAAAGGTATGTATTTCTCCCCCTCAAATATTTTTGTGTATACAAATCCATATGATACTGCCATACATATAGATACAAAACTACCTACCAAGGCAGCAAATTCTCTAATAGAACAGTACTTTAATTTAAGAAATTTATGTATTGCAGATAATAAAGATTTCTTTTTATTTTCTGTGGGTTTTATTATCATTTTTTGTGTATTTATGACAAAACCTAAATATTCTCTTTCTTGTGATGGAATTAAATTACTCTTTTTCATATTAATTATAAAACCTAAACACTGGAGTAAATTTACAGTTTTATGAACATTGTCTAGGCACTCTGCATAAGAGAGTCCTATGCAATTAAGATCATCTATATAGGCAACATTTATGAGGCCTTGACTTCTGAGATGTTCTACTATGGTTTTAATAATTTTGTAAAAGTATATGGTGCAGTAGACAATCCAAATGGTAAACAATTGAACTCATACAGAATTCCTTTATATTTAAATCGTAAAAACTTTCTGAAATCATCATGAATATTAATTAAATAGTATGCATTCTGTATATCTAATGTACACATATAACTGTCCTTAGTCACTAATTTGCATAAGGTACGAATATCTTCTAATTTGAAGTGTGGAGGATTTATGAATTTATTTAGGGGCTTAAGATTTAAAATAAATCTATGTGATTTATCAGGCTTTGGAATACAAAAAATATTCGATAAATATTGACCTTTTACAGGAGTACACTGTGAAATAGCATGTAATTTCATAAACTTTTTAATTTCTATAGATATAATCCTATCTTCTAAACCTGACAACTTATCATTCAGTGGTAAGCAATTTTGAGTTGGATTATCAATAAAAGGGATTTTATAGCCATGTATCCATGATAAAATAGTGTTATGATTTGTAAGCTTATTCCAACAGTTATAAAAATGTTTAATTCGACCAGCAAAATGTGTTACCTCTATGGGTATTTGGCACGTTGTTGTCTGTAAATATAGAAAACAACAATTAAAAATAATTAATAAATTATAGGTAATATTAGTCTTAAAATAATAAAAATCTTATGGAATAATAAAACATAAATGTTTAGCTGTCGTTTTTTATTACGTGAGAGTAGTTGTAGCACGAATGGGTCGGCTTCTTTTTCACGAATTCTTTTGTTTGTAAGGCCGGCTGCGAGTCACTGCCGGTGCTTGGACCTTGGTTGCCGGCCGTTGAAAATTTTGATTTCCCCTGAACATCTTCCTCTGGGTCCTTTGATGTTGAGGGGGATAGTAGTTTTTTGTAGTAGAATTTTGCCTTGGCTTAAAAGGTTTTGGAATAGATTTCTTTAGAAGATTTGAAGCAGATTTTTGTAAAATTGTTGTATTTTTTGCACATTCACTCAACTTATCTCCAAATAAGAATTTATCCCGTTTGAGATCCGCAAGAGTCTAGATATGGTTTTATCTAAGTGAGGTATTAACAAATTTTTTCTTATTACCGTATCTTCTGAATGGAGATGGGCTAGAATCCTGGCCGCCTCTGTCATGTTTTTTATGATATCTAATTTATTAAAATTTTGTTTGGTTAAATTATCAACACATTTTAATATTGTGGCTGTGGCTAATCCTAATAAATTTTGGCGGTTCTTAATTTTTTTTATCTCTTGTTTTTTCTGACTCCTGTATCATGTGTAATTCAGGATTCAGTAGTGGTGCCTCTAACAAAATGGTATTTTCCGGTATTAATTGTTCTTTTTTATATGTTTCAATTTTTTCTTTAGTCAAACCTTCCATCAAAATATCTTCGACCCTTTTATAAATCTCCGGATGTATTGGTTGACCATATGAAGATTCAGTACTAATCGGAGGACCCATGGCTTCTATAATATCCTCTTCTAAATGTTCTTCTTTAACTTCCATAATTTCTACCTCCTCCTCCTCCTCTGGTTCGATATTTTCCAGAATAATCTCCTCTTCTGATTCAATACTTTCCACTGAAATTTTATAATTATAGTAGTATTGTATTATACTAATTTTCTTATTTATGCCTTCATTTCTCTCCCCCCCTTTGTTTACAGATGTAATGCCCATAAATTAATGATATTCGATTGCTATAGTACCAATATAATGGTTTAATAGTGACACTCACTTTAAGAGGCCTCCATATTAAATGGTATGGCATGACTATTATCCCCACGGGATAAGTTAAAAGTGACACTCGCTTTTACGAGTTTGTGACATATGTATCCAGGCATATTATGACTGGTCGACTAATCCCCACGGGAAAGTCGTGACTATGCCCCACGGGATAGTCTCAAAAGTTTATACACATAAAATTTTAGATGGTAAAATTGAGGATAAGTAAACCTGATTTTAAACTTTTTAGAAAACATTGGCGGTCTACATGCTAATTTTAATGATCTTTTAAAACTTTTTGTTTTATTTTAATGAAATATTATATATCCATAAAGTTCCGCATAATGCAATTGATTAATTATAATAAATTGAGTCATGATAAAAACAGACTTACCAATATCGCCAACATCATTTTCGTTTCTATTATCTTTTGAATGTTCGTCTTTACGTCTTTTACAACGTTCATATTTTTTCTTATATTTGTTCAACTTCCTTTCTAAACGTTCTTCTTTTGACTCCCTTCGTCTTTTAGGAATTTTGAACCAACGTAACCAGAATAAATTGCACAAAAACTTTCGAGATTTAGTGCGCAAATGCAAATGGATGATTGTTCATCAAACGCGGTAAAACGAATGACATTCGAGAAGCGTTAGGTTGCGTTCGTGTTGCAATTTTTTTATTTTAGATCTACCCTAAAAGGACGCGTTCATCGAGCAAGGTGTAGACGATACTACCAAGTTATCTCGGACTAAGCTTGAATATAATTACAATGTCGTGAATAGTATATTGATTGAATTTAACTATAATTGTTCAATATGTATGTATTTTATTATTCGCACGTATATATCTTAATTAATATATGTATATTATATATGTATGTAAGTATATATTATTTTGACCTCTTTTTTGTCACACTGACTTGTCTTACCCATGCCATTCTTCCTGCAATCCTGTCCTTTCATTGGTTGTCTGGAAGAAATTGCTGTCAGCAATAAGACCGCCCATTGCAAACTTCTTTTGTATATTGTTTATGGTGTACAATAAGGAATATTCAATAAATAAATAAAATAACCTAACCTAAGTTCAGGTTTCAGGTTTTTGATAAAAAAACAGATTTTTTTAGGTTAACGATAAGATTAAGTAATAATTTGGTCTTTTTTGGGTCCAAGATCAAAGACAAGGTTTTCGATCAAAAACCTGATTTTACCATAAACATGCGACTTACATACATATAAAAATTGTCATGCATTAGTCTCACAAAATCTCGAAAATGAATCGACTGATTTTATTTTGGATGTATTTGAGTGGGTGATGGTTTAAATTCACAATTGGACCCGATAGGTGGCTGTTGTCGAGATTCAGAATCAACCGTGCGAACCGAATCGCTAGTGTTTGAATAAAATACATAACATTACATTTCATACGTATTTTGTATACGCTATATTTCCATCTTGATTATAGTAGATAAGACGTGTAGTGGCAGCTTAAAAGGGGTTTCCCTACCACTTATCCCGTGGTTGTTGTGAAAGGCGACATAGGGAAACTGACATAGAAGATAGGCGTCAGTATCTTTTTGATAACAACTGTGTACAATAAAAAATGTGGTTAATTATTCGCCTGCAATGCGTGGAACTATGGTAAAATAATATCCATGATGAGACTATCTATGGAGGTGGCCTGTTTCTATCAGTGGACTTTTAAAAACATACGGCAAACAATATGATATACCTGGTTCACAGACGGAGTACCTCAGTAAAAAGCGTGCTGTATATGTATTCTACTGTTTTGGATCATGGGTTCAAATTTAAAAGCCGTAGACAAAATTTGTGCATTTGCGCATGTGACTGTGGCCGATATAATTGTAGATTTTTAGAATAATATACCGTAATATCACCTAGGGTACATTCCAATAATAACCTCGATATAATTGATAGAATCAGGCGTTACTTTGCGAAAATACATTATAATAAAAATATTAATTATTTTCAACCTTCCGCTAACTAAATACAATGATGTGTCTTACCTGGATTGAAGAGCACCTCCCGCCCTCCCTCACCACTAGTCCCAGCACCACTACTCCCAACACCACTACTCCCGGCACCACTACTTCCAACACCACTATTCCAGGTAAGACACACCATCGACGATAATACGACACGTGTTTCGCCTCTACACGAGGCATCCTCAGGTGATGTAGACTCTACAGCGGCTGACCGCTCTTCAATCCATCATCAATCATTGTATTTAGTTAACGGAAGGTTGCAAATTAATTAATATTTTTATTATAACTTCGATAGTCTGATGATTAAACGATACCCTCAGATTTGGTAAGACAAGAAGAATTTATATCGCAGATTATTTTCTTATTACCCTTCTTTTTTTTCTAAATTAATTCACTACCGAACGCCCTTATTCTTGCCATTGTTTATTTTTTTATGATAATTGTTTTGGGAGGAGAAGAGAAAAATTGTTACATAGCCTATAGTCATTTTAGTTTAATTAATTATATAAAACTCTATAATGTATCTAAAATGTACCTTCTTATAATATTTTACTTAAGTTATTAGTTATCCATATCTATCCTGGATTACCGAACGATTACCGTGTAGTGGCGGTTAAGAATATCCACTACCCCATATCTTCCCGTGGTTGTCGTAAAAGGCGATAGAGGGAAACAGGCAGGAGATAGGCGGCAGCATCTTCCTGATAGCAGCAACTGTACAACAAAAAATCCGCTCGCCAAGCGTGGCAACTATGGCAATATACCTCCCCCATAAGCAACGACCCAAATAGACGGCCCTTAGACTCTGGCGCCCCGGCTATTCCTCGCAACGGTGGCGACCATGTTAACAGCGGGGCAGGGGGTGATAAGAATCTCCGGTGGAGGTTCGTTTGCCACCTAAAACGACTTGATCTGGCAACATATAACGCACGCAACCAGAGGACTGACGAGAAGATCCTGGAGCTGGAAAACGAGATAGGCAAGTTGCGCTGGAATATGATAGGATTATCCGAGGTCCGAAGAGAGGGGGAGTATAGATACGGTGATTCTTGAATCCGACAACATGTTCTTTCACCGAGAGGGCGACCATCTGTCCCAAGGAGGTGTTGGATTTATCGTCCACAAGTCTCTCGTTAACAATGTTGTAAAGATTCGACTCGAAAGATTTCTAAATATTCGATTCGAGAAGTGTTGTCGAGGGTTGCGTATCTTATATTCAGAATCACCAAACGGTGTTCGCTGAAGGTCATATTGGTTTACGCACCAACGTCGGCACATCCCGATGACCAGGTGGAAATGCATGGCTCTGGAAATATATGAGAATATTTCTAGAGCCATGCATTTCTCTAAAAAGCACTATACGGTGTGAATGGGAGACTTTAACGCAACTCTAGGCACAAGAAAGAACGGTGAGATGAAAGTAGGGAAATTTGGGATAGGGCAGCGGAACCCAAGAGGCCAGCAGCTGGCCGACTTCATGGAGGAAGAGGGACTCTTTATGATGTACTCTTTCTTCCAGAAGTGGCCCCACAGAAAGTGGACCTGGTTGAGCACCGGCGGTTCGACAGAAAATGAGATTGACTTCATTATGACGTACAGACGGCAACTGTTCAGTGATGTCTCAGTGATCGCAAAGGTGAAAACTGGCAGTGATTACCGAATGTTTAGAGGCACAATAAGCCTAAAAGTCAAGGTTCCGTCCCCCTCGTGCTCTAATCCAAAATCCCGAAACCTTTCAGCTCGAGTTAAAAAACCGTTTTCAGTGCCTAGAAGATTGCAATGCAGTGGATGATATGAATGACAAGCTCGTGGAAACTGTCCATGCGGTTGGAGTTAAGTTCTGCAAGAGGCGCCGCAAAAGAACGCGAAAACTCTCCGATCACACTCTTAATCTCATGGCTGTTAGACGGGAGATGAAGCTGCAGTCGTCAGCAGATTTGACAGCATACAGGCAATTGAAGAGACAGATCTCCAAATACATGCGGCGAGACTTATGCAACGTTAATACTGCTCGTAAGCGATCGAGCAGAACCAGGGCTCCAGTTTTTGCCAGAGATCTGTCAGCCAGAAAGAGCCAACTGTCAAAGCTGAAGACTGAGTGTGGCAGCATCTTTGATTTCCCGGACACCTGATACTTTGAGTGAGATGAGAGTAATGATGATGATGTTGATCCTCGATTAAGAATCAAATTGCATATGCGTAGAAAACACCCGAGGACTAAGATAGATCGTTCCCTATAAAAGGCATTTCTGGATCTCTTCACTTAATTTGTCAAAATTAATTACAGATACATCTCAATAAATTTACATTATCTTCTGTTTAAGACAATAATAACATATATACAGACTGATCAAAAGTCTTAAAGTTAAATTTATACGTCCCACAGCTGGGCACAGACCTCCTCTCATTTCTAAGAGGGTTTTAGCGTTTCTTCTTCTACTTCGCATATCTTCGATTTTATTATTTTTTTATTTCTCAAACATGGCCATGGCCGGCGGTGCAGGCCAGGTTGGAGCACGTGGTAAATCGTCACTTAAAATTGCTATTAACAATTTCATTGGTGCCGACGAGAATCGAACCCAGGTCGCCCGCGTACCGTGAAATTTACAGCGAGCGCTAACCATCTGAGCTATCACGGCTCGTAATAATATTTTACTTTTAAAATTACTATTGTGTTTTTTAATTCTTATTCGTAAGCTCAAAAGTATCCTTTTTATGTATCTTTCTACATTCTTATTCATAAAGTAAAGTAACAGCCTACATATTATGGCCTATCTTCCACTGATTCCTGAGAGGCTAAGGACGAGTTTGCTGCGAGGCTTCCATATGTATTGGTAAATTTCATATACTATTATTCTCGAAATGTTTTTTGTTTCTAGTTTTTTGAGCTTTTATCTTCAGAGAAGATTAGCCCCATCCCTCCCCATTTTAGAGCGAAATATTTTAACATTTTTAGATATGCAGGCTTTCTTTTGATGATTTTTTTTGCTATCGCCGAGCACGTAGTAAATCAACACTTAAAGGTAGTGAACAGTTTTAGTGTTGCCGGTGGGAAAAGAAGACGGGTTTCTCGCGAATTCTTTGCATATTAAATATCGGTATAAAATGGCGCTCTACAGTTAAATTAAAATTATATGCCCTTAAACATGACTGTAGATAAAGTAAACGTATTAAAGGTTAAAAAATGATAGAAAATAAATTAAGTAGATATGATGGAGGTTCTTGTATGCTTTAGTATTTAAATATTAGCTCTGCTGTCAACCGATAAGAGCGATAACACGACTACAAAGGGCTCTAGTCAGCTTACGTGCACAGTGCTTCACCGTCGATATGGGTCGAGAACGGCATCCGATAGTACCGCTTATGCTATTCTTAAAACTAACCGTAAACATTTATTAAATACCTTCCGTGGGCGTGTGTTGCAACCAATTTTGTATTCACACATAAAATAATTTATACTCATACTGCATAACGCAAGACCTGAAACGTAGTGATACTCTTTAGTAAGAACATTCAATATCTGTCAAAATTGTACATTTCTATTGTCTTTAATGAAATGAGAACTTTAAACATTACATCATTACATATTAT